TGGAAATTAGTTCACTAAGAGATAAAACCCATAGGATCAAAGTTGTAGAGCATCAAATTTTGCGTATACTGAGTACTGAAATTTTTATTGTTGGCAAATTATATATCTCGAATCGGGATTCGTTATTCCTTTATAAAATTCGGTATCTTTTGGCTTTCTCATTGGCTCTCAAAAGAGATGGATTTCTCGTTTCGATCCTCAAATTATTGGTCTAATATTCTTTAAATCAGACGCCATTTTTGAAAGCAGCGGCTCTGGAACGGCAGACAAGGTTTTTTTATTCAGAATAACATACACTTCCGTAATTTAAAATCAAACTTCGCCTGCGATCAGGTCGATTTTTGGGCCCTGGCTCCAGAGCTATTAGGTGTGGCACACCCAACGTCTATTAAGTATGTACTCTCAATTAAAGGGAAAAACCTGACGGTTGAGCTTGAATTTATCCCAATAACCTCTCTGTACAACCATTGGCCTTGAAACTATTTCATCAAATAGTATGTAGCCCAAGAACATTCAATGGTTGTCGTGGTACAGCTTTCATGAGTTTCCGCCCTTCTCCTGGCCTGGAAAAAAAACTTGTATATCCTTAAAGGGGAGATAAGAAAAAAAAAAACTTTGTGTTGGGGAGAAGTATATTACTTTAAGATTTGGTTTGAAATATTATTATTCTACAAATAAAACGTGGTGTAATTATGCACAGAGAAGAAGAATTTAAGTGTTAGTGATACTTGCACATGAGGCAATAGGGTTATATATGTTGTTTGAAATGAGATCATGTTGCATGAGACATTTTGAAGGTGAAGAAAATTAAGGATGTGGGACTTATTATAACAGATAATCCTGATTACCAGACTGAGTCCCCAAACTGGTTTGAGTATCATAATGCTCGTTCATTCTCTCTCTCTTTCTTTCTCTTGCTTGATACGAACTTCTATTGATTAGCATATCTTGACTAATCTTTATATGAGTAAAAATAGTTAGTAAGCTTTAGGTTAGTCGATAACTTATTAATTAGAAATAGGTTATTTTGGGATTTTCTATGTTTAATTAAGGATCTTCAATTTATTTTTAGTTCATTATTTTTATGTATATAATTAAAGTATTTGCTAGTTATAAACTGGATGTATAAAATAATAAATTTGTCTATTTTGGTTATCTATGAATAAATGTTATATAAATAATTTGATATGTGAAGTTTTTCTATAAATTCCTATTTCAATTTGTAAAAATGAAAACAGCATTAGCACATCACAGTATAAGATTACAGCATAAATTTAACTTCAATAAACCACCGATAATAGGCACAGAACCAAAAAACACCAATAGGAAATTACTTGAAGCAATCACAAAAAACAATAGAACAACAGTCAATTATAAAACAAACACTAAACATTTAGGAACTCATTATACGGACATATTAAACAAAATTAAAATTTAATAGAAATGAAATTGCAGATACATAAAATAAACATTAACAACAATAATAAAAATAGTCAGATAAAACAGTCAGATCCAAAGGTCAATTGTATTTCACTATGGCAGACACCCAATTATTGGTCAAAAGCAAGATGTTGCTCTAGATGATATATTTTTAAGGTAATTATAAATTTATTGTAACAACAAAATTCTAACATGTAATGTAACATGCACTATATTTTAACTAAAAACAATTTTTAGCCTTGCATCCACAAGATCATTGAGATTGTAGTTCTGAAGATGGGAGTAAATATCCCGAAACGTAAACTTGTTAACATGTAACATTGATAATACAAGAAATATATTCAATTGTTGCTAATTGGAAGTAATTATTGCCAAATAACTAAGAAAACATTACATATAAACACAACAAGCTCTCCTTGAGTAGTGCCAAAATACCAACAGCTGATTTTCCACAAATATTAATATCAATTATACAAAGAGTAATATCACTTTTACATGCCCATGTTTCCCATGGCTTGGAAAATATATAAATGTGGCTTTAAAAGCACAATACCAATTAGGTGTTGGTATTTTCTTTTCTATACATACTAGTTTTGGTATTAATATCACTCATTCAAGTATGAATACTTTTATCAATACTACTGATGGTATGCATTATCTCCCTTACAATCTGTTTTATGTACAAAGTCCATCCTTCAAGACCCCTTCCTTACTGCTTTCTTCAATTTAAGGACTGTTGAAGTAGAGAAAAATATACTTTCCTTGTTCCATAAAACCTCTATACACTCACTACAATCATAATCATAAGTTGTGTGGTTTATAAAAGCAGATGGAGTGACTAATTTTAAATGAATCAATGGATGAATGGAGGTCTTGGGTAAGCTTTAATATGGCAGATTGGGTGGAAACGAAAACCGGATTGTAGAGAATTGAGGAAAGTTGTTCAACTGAGAGTGAACTAATCCTTCTAGAGGCTTGGATAAAATTTAAATGGATTCTTAAGTCGAAAGCTAGTGAAGGAGCTGGAACTTTGTTCAACTGCCAGACAATGACTTTTTTCCAGGCTTCAGGAAAAATGGAATTTTAGAAGGAAAAATTGTAGATGTGTAGGAGTATAGAAAGTAAGTTTGGTAGGCAGTGTTTAATGATTTTCATAGAAATATTGGCAGAACCATAGTCGTTGGTTTTGGATTTAACGATAGTAGAGAATAGGTCAGTTGGAGAGATATCAAGATAAAAAACTTACCAGAGTCAAAAGAGATTTCAGTGATGGAATAACATAAGAGGTGAGATGTGAATACAGAAGGAGGACGGTTTGCAAAATGTCTGGTGCGTGCAACACACAACTTTCACTTACCGCTCTACTTTGAATAGAAATTATTTTCTGACAGTGCTCGGCTATTATAAAATTTTTGAAGTGCATTTTAAACGGAACTAAAGCTTAAAGCTTACAGATAACAAATCATTAAGACCACTAAAACTCTGTTTATTATATCGATGGTAGGCAATAAAATCTAGTCATTCCATCTGCTTATATAAACCACACAACTTCAATCCTTGATCTTTTCAGTTGACAGAATAACTAACTCCAATTTCAACATTTTTGAGTAATGTCATTTAAATGATACTTTTAGTTGAAAAAGTTATATCTATACAGAAAGTGAGTAAGTTGATTCCGGAGTAGTTGATTGTAGTGTTGAAATATAGAACTGTGGTAAAGGTATAAAGCCACTAGAAACATCACTAAAATTAATAATAAAGAATTTTGATATTGAAGTTAGTCCTTCTGTCAAAGGAAAGGCTCATATATACCTACAGAGGTATTAATGTAGATCTGAATATTTAACCTATAAATGATTATGGATTGTAGGACTATTAGTTATTATACTGTTATTTTCTATTACAAAGTTTACTAAAATGTTATTACGAGATTATCATTGCCTGCAATGGATAGGTCAAAATTTGTCACATTAATTGTAAGTGGATAATGTAGGGATTTCACAATGGGAAAATTCATCTAATTATTCACTAATTTAATTTTATAAAAGGTTAGTTGATTAGTTTTTTAAAATAAACGGCCGATAGATACCTAATTATTTAAATATAATATCTTATGTAGAGTTAATACTCTATAGTAAATATATTTCAGGTTACCCATGAAATATTTTTATATTTAACTTCTACTTTGACACAAGTACAATGAAATAGTATTTTAAACAATGGCATTGGCTTGATTCGGTGGATTTTAAATACTTTTTTTTTTTGAAATCTTAGAGAAACATTTAAAAGTTTAGATATTATAAGAAAGTTTCATTTAATTTCCTTGGAAATATGTGATTTACCATAAATAATGTTAGTTTTCTGAAATTATTATTTAGGATGTTTTCGCCACTCTCCTATAGCTCGGTTAAAAATGATATTAAGGAATTTTATAACTGTCAGAAATAATTTCTAGTACAAAGTTGAGCGGTAAGTGAAAGTTGTGTGTTGCGCGCACCATATTTTTTTACTTTCACTACCCCTTAGTCTGAAAATAATTGATTCTGCCAAGAAGGGATGGTAAGTGAAAGTAGTGTGAAGCGCGCTCCAGATTTTTTACTTTCCTACCTATACTAGGTAAGGAAAGTATTGCAATCGGCTCAAATTTCCGATTTGCTGTTTTTGACGGATCTATACGTTTCAGAGTCCGAAAAACACATTTTTAGCCATTGGTCAGTCTGTCTATCTGTGCCAAGATTTTCTCAGGAACTACTGAACCGATCTTATTGCTTCTTTTTTTATTTTGTAGGGTTTTGATTACCGATGCCTGTGACAGAAATTCGGTGCTCCATGCGCAATAGCTTGCGCGCAATAAATGAAAAGCATGTTTTTCTATAGACTGTAGCGCAAAAAGGGCTCTAACGATTTTGATGAAACTTTCCTATAATGTTCTAATCATTGTCCTTTCAATTTTCGTATATAGACTAAATTCCCGAGAAAATACAGAAAAGTATTGCAATCGCATGTTTTTTTTTTGAAAGTTAATGAAATTCCCTACAAAACTATATTAAAATCGTTCATTTTAGACAACTAATAATAATAATTTACAATGTAAGATTACGGGTTCATATCCTGGTGTCAGAAAGGGGTGAATGAGAGAAAAAAGATGACTAAGTGAAAGTAAGGAAATCTGTTGCCATCATCACACAAGCTTCACTATTTTCTCTACTTTTAACAGAAATTATTTATTGTTTGACAATACTAAGCTATGGCAAAAACTTATTGATCAGCAATATTAGTGAGTATTGAAATTTTTACACTGATCTACCTTAAGCCGGTTTACATTGCTTTAGTTTATCAAATAAATCGTACTCAAATATTTTCTTTGATCAATTTTCAGGAAAATAAATCTAGTTCAATTCTTTTTTTGTTTCTTCATGAACTTATGTAAAGATATAAAGAATTTTCTGAAATAGGTAGGAAAGTCGTGTAAGTGGACACACCAGATGTTTTTCAAGATTCAAAAATCTTGCAGTGTCCGTTGAAAGCCGGCATGTTACGTATCACTCATTATCTCCAAAGGGATTCCCAGCCTTGATTGGAATAGTGGGGACGATAGGTCGAGCAGTCTCAACATGATACTCTTCTTGATAGCCGTGTTCGGGTTGGCGGCGGGGAACTTGCAGCTAGACGAAGGTAAGCAATATATTAGTACCTTCAGTTGATTAGTAATGTATTAAAAATACCTTCAGATATACTATATCTATATATATATAAAAATGAATGTATGTCTGTCTGTTTGTCCTTAGTGCATTACTAAACCATTCAACCGATCGCCATGAAACTTTGGGAAGTTGTTCCGTACACTCCTGGGAAGGTTTCTGGCATAGTACTTCTGTCTTACGATAATTTTATATATGTAAAAAAAAATAAAAATGTAAATGTTTTTCTGTTCAAAGCCGCAAAAAATGTGTCGCTATAAACTGTAGCGCCATAAAAGCTTTACCGATTTTAACGAAACTTGGCTTAAGTCTTTCCCTTGAATCCCTTTTAATTCATGTGTCATACTTTCCCGAAAACAAGCTGAAAAATGTTACGATGAATTTATGAAGTTATGAATATTTTATTTGACGATAAATAAAAAAGTACACAATTTTTAACTGATAATATATACCTACATATATTTGAAAGAATTCTAAATTGCTGAAAAAATAAAAAATAAATCATCGAAATCGGATTTACTGCTTTCTCTTCAGAAAATGCTGTTACCTTTTGCTTCCTCACTACCGAACGTCGGCAAGCATTTTTTTATTATTGATTAATAGAAAGTTATATAATTACTACAGTAATTGAAATTATCATTTGAAGAATTTATATGATTCTCCTTATGTAGGTAAATACTATTATACATTTTTTTTATTAATTTTTTAATTTAGTTTTATAAGTTCAATTCAGACTTTTTCTGATGATTATGAATGACGGCGTATTCACTTAGATGATTATGAATGTTCAATTTGAATTATGAGAAAAAAAAATATTAGCATTAGTTTAAATTTAAGGCATTTTACAGACGAATTTGTTTCCCAACTCTTTAAAAATGACAGATGTCCTTTGCTACTAATCTACTCATATGTGCTTTCTATTTTCTTTCTTTTTCATTTTGCCAGGCCAAGCCACAGCAGCGCGTGGCCGGGTAAAGCTAGTTATATATATAGTGTAGTTATATATATATATACAGATATACTATATCCGTACATATATTATTACAGTAAGGCTCGAAATCGGTTTTGTACCAAATATAAGCTCCTGTCATGCTCAAATGCCATGAATGGGGTAACATTGGATTCAGAATTTCACGGGGGTTAGCGAATTGTATTCTCCACTTTTGTTTTTCTTTTTAAAATAAATAAAGTCTATACAAACATTTTGCTAGGCTTCGATACTGGAACGGTGGTAGGTCTGTACATCGATACAAATTGGATCTTGAAGATTTTTTAAGCCCAAAAACGTACTATTTTCGAGATAAAGCAAGGCATGGGGTTTGCATCCACACAGCCTTACGTTAATTGTAGTACTGTCATTGAATACATGTCTCATTTCGTCGACTTGAGGTCTCTATGATCGAGAGAGGAGGAGTTTATATTATTTATCGATGGTGTTTTTGATCGGCAAGCCATATCATCGTCAATTTTTTAACCAAATTTCAAGATTGAGCCACCAATTTCGAAGGCTTCCTTCTCCTTTAGGCGGGCCCTACAAAAGGAAAATAAAATCATCGAAATCGGACTATTTTAACAAAGATACAGGTTACTGAAATTTGTGAATATGTTGGTTCCAAACAAAAATGAAGATTTAAATTATAAATTATATTTATCGATAAAGTAACATTTGATTTCTTTATCTTTTGATACCTTGCATTATTTTATTTTCTTATTAATTTGGCAGTTGATAACAATATGCTGTGCGAATTTTTCGCACGGGCCCACTAGTCAGATATGCTATATGTTCTGTATTAGCAACATTGAGCCCTAACATAGGCGTTATGATGTTTTATTTTTACACTACTTTAACAAAAGACAAGTTCAGTTATTTAATTTTTTTTTAACATTGTAAATCATAGAGCCAAGTTGATAAAAATGATATAAATAATCTAAGAGCAATGATTGTTAAATTAATGTGCAATATAGATAGTGCTGGTCTTCTTCCTCTGAATAAGTCGGTAAATAAAATTTATATTATTTCAATTTACTTAATTAACAAATAATAAATAAAGTAAATTAAAATAATTAAAAAAACGTCTATCAAGTAAGTTTAGTATAGCTTCCTTGCCATTTTCTTTGCTTATACAATTACGTATATTTGAAGACGTATAATCATTCGAGTTTTGGCCATTAGCTAAAAAAAAATTTGGTGGGCACAACACACAACTTTCACTCACCGCTCAACTTTGAATAGAAATTATTTTCTGGCCATGTTGAGCTATTATAAAATTTTTGAATATCATTTTTAACCGAGTTATAGCTTAAAGATTACTGCTAACAAATCATAAATACCATTAAAATAACAAAAGTCCTATTTATTATATCACCGGTTAATTATGGATCGTACGACTATTAGTTATTAAACTGTTATTTTCCATTGCAAAGTTTACTAAAACGGAATTAAGAGATTTGCATTGTCTGACATAGATAATTCTTCTTCTTCTTAAATAATTGAAAACAACGAAAATCTTTAGGTGTGAATATCTCCTAAACAAAGCTTTTGCGTGCATACCTTCAGACGAAATTTTTTTCTTGTTTTGAGGTCCTTAGTTCATTTTTACAGTTTGGTCACTTAACACTGAAGCACGCTGTATGTATAATAAAGTGGCACTTCCGGTAAGCCGATTTTAAGGAAAAAGTTGCCGTCACATCTAAGGCATATACCTATCTTAAATACGTAATATCAGTTTCGTAGGACTTTTCGTTTTTGAGCTAGACTGCTAACATACAAACACACAGACCATTTTTCGGGACTTGGTCATTTCGACTAAGGGTTCCTTAAAACGTGCATTTCCGTTAAAAACACAGATTCAAAAATTTTCTCGATCTGCAATACTTACACTTACTATATATTACATATATACGTAAGTGAAAGTAAAAATATGTATTGTAGGTCAAAATAATAAAATACATAAGTTCATAAAAAAATATCTGTATTCTCGTTTTAGTTCACCTTTGTATGTAATATATCAATTGATTAGTTATTAACCATATTAGTTATGATTAATAATGTAAAATGTTTCAATCACATATACCATTTATTTACATTGTGCTCATTTAAATTATAGAATATCCAAAATCTGAGTTTATATTGTGTAATTTATTTGTTGTATTTATTATATTTATATTTAGAATGTACTTTAATAGAATATAGATTAATTTTATTCTGGGACAATGTCGCTTAGAAAAACAACATTGTTTTTTTAAAGAATAACTAAAACATAAGTAATAAAACTATTGGTTTGGCAAATAAGTCCTTTCGGTTTTTCTGGATTTTTTATGTCACTAAAAACCGATTCGTATGATACACTTCGTATCTGATGAATTAATCCCTAAGGTGGATTGTTTATCCTGTTCGTAACATATCATCAACTAAATCTGTTAACTCTTCTTGAAAGTATCTTAGTGCTGTGTTTGCTATAGCACTGTGAATATGGAAGAAAATACCATTCATTATCGCCATATTTTGTTGTATTATTTTAAAAAAGGTAAGCGTGCTGCAGAAGCTCATAGAAAGATTGGCTGTGTTTATGGGGATGATGCCTTAACCGAACTCACCTGTCAAAATTGTTTTGCCAAATTTCATTCAAGAAATTTTGCTCAACGGTCTGGTCGCCCACATGAAATTGAAGCCAGCAATGGTAAGGCCATTGTTGATCAAAATCCCACCCAATCAGTGCGATAGATTGCTATGGCCCTAAATGTGCCGCACACAAGCGTAGAAAGCCATTTGCACAAGCTCGGCTATATTTCCAGGCTTAATGTTTGGGTTCCTCACATAATTGTTTTTCGAAAATCACAAAAAATGTTATAACTTCAATACGACTTTAGCCATCTACAAGAAATTTAGCAGAAATTTAAGGCCGCATAAACTACACAAAATGACATCAACAGGACCTTCGTAAACAAACTACAAATAGAGATAAAAAATAAAAATCTATAATGAGTTTTGTTTATTTATTCCTTGTGTAAGTATTCAATAACATATCTGGTGTGTTCACTTACACGACTTTCCTACCTATTTCAGAAAAAGTTTTTATATCTTTACATATGTCCATGAAGAAATAAAAAATAATTGAACTAGATAAATTTTCCTGAATATTGATCTAACATAACATTTGAGTACGATTTATTTGATAAACTGAAGCAATGTAAACCGGCTTAAGGTAAATCAGTGTAAAATTTCAGTACTTCCTAATATTGCTGATCAAAAACTTTTTGCCATAGCTTAGTATTGTCAAACAATAATTTCTGTTAAAAGTAGAGATTGTGTGATGCGGGCAACAGAATTTCTTAATTTCACATAGTCATCTTTATTCTCTCATTCACCCCTTTCTGACACCAGGATATGAAACCGTAATCTTACATTGGAAATTGAATAGCTGTAACTTCGTTGTTAGTTGTCCGAAATAAACGATTTTTTATGGCTTTGTAGGGAATTATAGATAGTAGGCTGAAACGTATAGATCCGTCGAAAACCGCATGTCGGAAATTTGACCCGATTGCAATACTTTCCTTACCTGGTATAGGTAAGAAATTAATAAGTTAAAAAATGTGTGAAAAATAGAATAAGCTGTATCATCGCTAATACTGGTTCGATTTCGATGATTTTTTTTTTGTTTTGTTGGTAATTTAATTACCTTTCAAAAGTTCTTGAATAAATTTTACCGCATAATAATACTTAGGGAGTTAGACCCCATAACATTTTTGTTTTCTTAATAACTTTTCTCCTGGATTTTTTCAGGAATTTAGTATATATACGAGCATTGATAGAATAATGATTAGAACATTATAGGAAAATTTCATCAAAATCATTAGAACCGTATTTGCGCTACAGTCTATAGAAAAACAGGTTTTTAATTTATTGTGCATGGAGCACCGAATTTCTGTCACAGGCATCAGTAGTCAAAACCCTACAAAATCAAAAATGAAGCA